GCATAAGCTTTCGTGAGTGAGGTTTTTACTCACGAAAGCTTATGCCCAAATAAATCTGTTAGTCTTTAAGGTGCCACCAGACTCCTTGTTGTTTTTTTAAATCAAATCAGACTCCTCTCCTAGGCTGAGGAGGAAGGGAGCTGGAGAAGTCAGGCTCTGACAATCTTATTCAGCCACCTCAGCCTTATTCTGAGTCAGGGCTGCTAAACTAGACTTAACGTTCTCTGTACATGTAACATTTTGTCTCTCTCTCTTTCAGGAACTGGCCCTCGTTCATCAAAAGGAGCTGAGCTTCAGCAGCTGTTCTACTATCCCTAAAGATAACTACAGCATCTGCTTGAGCTTGGTAAGCACGCGCCCAAACCTATTTATAGAGCAAATTTGGGGACGGAAGAGGGTGACGGGTGACTCTCGAACTTCTGGAGGACTGTACTAAGCCCTGGATTCAGGCAGGGATGAAATTTGATCACATATTTGTCCAGTGTGCTGTAGTTTATGGTTTGGTCAACCTCTGCTCCATAGAGATCTGTGCCTGAAATAGAAAGGTGTTGTGGGTTAGGACTGAGAGGCACAGGCAGAGCTGTGTAGAGGGCTAGGATTTGAATGTGTGTGTGCACACTGCAATGTATTTCCTCAAGGGAAAAGAAATGTATCCAAAGCAAGTCTCAGTAAAAATGCCTCAGAGCAGCTCTCTCGAGTTTAACAATATTCTGCTCAGTGAGACGCAAGGAAGATAACATGGAAGCGAGTGAGGAGACAAATTCAAATATAATTGGCTACAAGACTCCATTAATCCTGTATTTCCCTAGTCACACAGTTATTATAATCTGCCTTTGATGCAATGCATTAGATGGGAAACGTTCCATCTCCCATGAAGTCGGCAATTCATCTGCAGTAGCTTACTGAGGGCTGTGTTTCCATTTCTTGATAGCTGGCTTAGGGACTTATGCATAGCTGTGTAGGAAAACTGCATTAGGAAAAACTAAAAACGATGTGTGTGTTCATTTTTAGACCGAAGAGGAAGAGGAGGAGGATGAAAAGGGAGGAGAGCAGACATTTCCGCTCCCCCGCGACTGGGACAGTGGAGTTGGCTGTACTGATGGAAGCGCCCAGCTGGATGAGAATTCAGGACCCGATCTGGATGCTGAACACCCCTATGTCCAGAAGAGGGAGGAGGCAGATCACCGTGCTGGCAGGACACTTGCAAGTAGTGAGCTAGCTACTGAGGAGTTCTTAACCTACGATGAGTTAAGTGATTCCAGTTTCTATGGGGTAAGCCCAGGAGAGTACAGGAGATTTCAAGAAATCTTGGAAAGAAAATGCCACCAATATCAGCTGGTTAAGAGTCTTACTACAGACCAAGGAACGTCACATGCTTCAGGAGCCCAGGAGGAAGGGTCTGAGCAATCCACACTGCAAGACCAATGGCTTGCTAAGTATCCTTTGGGCCAGTCTCGCGCAGAGTGCCCTCCGCTGGTTGGAGACAGCGCCACGAGCAAAGAAAAAGGGACAAACCACAAAGCTGGACTTCATCCTCAGAATGCAGTGAATGGAGTCCGAGAACAAGCAAATGTGGATAAATCAACAGAAGGGCAGAAGGAACCAGAACCAGTTTCTCTTACACCTGCGAACATTGCTACTGGGCCAAAAGCACTTGTGATTCCGTATCATGCACGCCGTTACGTGAGCTATATGAACCTAGTGCAGGAAGACGCCTCTGCAGAGTGCTTAAGCAACCAGCCTAGTCCATCAATGCTCTCACATCAATGCAGCAAAGGCATCCAGGGCAAACTAGATGAGGGGAACAGGTGGAGCCTAACCTGCAAAAGGAGCAGACAACTGTTGAATAAACAGCACAAGAGTCAACTGTTAAAGGACAGGGCATTAAGGATTATGGAGGAACGCAGTGGAATGACAACAGATGATGATGCCTTGAGCGAGCTGAAGGCTGGGAAGTACTGGAACAAGGCTGAGAGGAGGCAACACTTGCTCTTGTCTAAGCAGCAGAAACAAAGGAAGGAGTTCATGGTGCAAAGCCGGATGGAGCAGCTGAAGGAAGATGACAGAACAGGGACTGAGGGCAGAAGAGATCTTAGTATTATTGAGCTGAGTCAGAAGAAGCTGATGAAGAAGAGAAGCAGGAGAGTCTTGGACAACTGGATCACCATCCAGGAACTTCTATCTCATGGGACCAAATCTCTAGATGGCAGGACAACGTATAGCCCTTTGTTGTCAGTCACGACAGTGTAGAGCTCCAATGTCTTTTTCCAGAGTGGATATCCGACAGTGCTCAGCAAAATGTGGATCACAGGTTTGTGACCAGCTCCACATGCCTCTGACGCCCTGCAGTAAGCCAACAAAGTACACTGTATTCTCAGTAACACTGGCATGCATGCACAGCCCTGGACTATTAGAAAACAGATACAGAAGAGGCGTCTAGTCTCCCTCTCCCTTCTGCCAGTGCAGGACTTTTCTCCCTACAATGTGTTATCTACTGATTTTTCAGTTAAGTGACGGGGATTTGGAGACTTCCCCCAGGAGATTAAACCACAATATGGACATCACAGACAAGAAAGTTTTCCTGGTACTCAGCCTAAGTCTTCCTTGCCTTCATTTGCATCTCATATCTACCCCCAGTGGTGACCCTGAATTCCTCCTCCTCTCTATTTACATTCATTTATATAGCCAAATGGTAGCAACTCACAGGTCTTACTTTCATCACTACCCTGGAGGACTATGGATAAATCCTTGACCTACCATAGTCCCACAAGGCCAGTTTTCAGGGCTAGCACAAGAGAGGAAATGCTGCAAGTACATTAAAGAAACCTCACACCTATTATTCCCCAAGCATGGTAATACAGTTTTTAATTTTCCAGAGCTTGGGTTCTAGCCCTATTTTTCTGAGAAGGCCTTTAAACTGAAGCAGCATTGTTGCAAATACATCTGTGGAGTAAGTAGGAATTTGCTCCAGCAATTGAAACAAAGTAGTAACGGCCAGTCATTTATTATAACCGTATAATCAAAGAATTGACTTTTCAAAAGAGGTTGCAGCATGCACACTCTCAATGACTACCAATTAAGATACACAAGTCAATGGAGCTGTGCCAATTCCAACTAGCTGAAGACCTGGCCCTGTGTAATTAAACAATATATTTCATACTGGCTTTTGTAGAAGATGCTCTGCAGAGAACTTGTTTACTTTTGTATTCATCCCCCTCTGCCATAAAATATCACATTTTTATAAAGAAGTAACTGTGGGGATTTGCATAATACATTTCAAAATGTTAAAGCTTGTCATAATTTTTCCCTGAATTAGATGTACTGTAGGTTTTTCTGCTTTCCTAATTTGTTTCGCAGAGAGAGTGAAAGACCCAGTAAACCCTATTGTTATAGTAAACCAGAGACAGAGACTAGAGTGAGAAAAGACCTCTGTGGATCTTACTACCAGTGGAGCACTGTTCCCTAGTGTTGATTGCTACGTGATTTATTCTCTCAACACAAGGGAAAGTGACTTCAGCAGACTCATAAGAGCACTGAATCCTTTCAAAAAAAAATCCTTAAGAATAAACTAGTTTCTGAATGGCGGAAGAAGGGCTCATCCATACTCTAAAGTGGTTGGATCCCAGTACCTGTGCCAACTTAGATGAAAATTGTGGTTGTGCCAGCTAACGCTTTCAGCCTTCCCATTCTAGCCTGCAAAGGAAGCTTGAGTGGCTCCAAACTGTTGCCTGACTGGGGTTTAGAGCTGCCCAAGGTCCAGTGGGGAAGAGAGTGCATACACACCCATAGAGAAGGCAGTGGAGACCCAGCACTGAAGTTCATCATTGAAGCAGTGCGATAAGGTAGACAATGCATAAAAATGATTGAACTGAAGGTCTAGAAGACATGACCTAAGAGGGAAGATTGAAAAAATAGGATTTGTTTAGTCTGGAGAGAGAAAACTGATGGGGGACATAACAGTTTTCAACTACATGAAAGGTTGTTACAAAGAGGAGGGAGAAAAATTGTTCTCATTAACCTCTGAGGCTAGGACAAGAAGCAGTGGACCTAACCTGCAGCAAGGGCGGTTTAGGTTGGACATTAGGAAAATCAGAATAGTTAAGCACTGGAATAAATTGCCTAGGGAGGTTGTGGAATCTCCATCATTGGAGATTTTTAAGAGCAGGTTAGACAAACAGCTGTCAGGGGTGGTCTAGATAATACTTAGTCCTGCCTTGAGTGTAGGGGACTGTACTATGTACTATAAGACCTCTCGAGGTCCCTTCCAGTCCTACAATTGTATGATTGTCTCACTACGTGTTTGCACAGCATCTAGCACAACGGAGCTCCAATCTCAGGGAGGACGTATATGCACTACTGCAGTACAATTAAGATAGGGAGAGGGAACCCAGCAAACTAGTTGCAAAAGCCAGTAGTGGAATGAATACTAGTTAGGGAAACACTGTTCTGAACTAGTCAGAAGGCAGCCGGACGGCAACTGGTGAGCAACGAGCAGTCTACTCTATCTGCAATCATCTGTACCCTCCTCAAGTTCAAGTCTTAGGGGGCTCGGTTGGACACCCAAAATTAATGGACCCTTTTGAAAATGTAGATTCTACGTAACTTGCCCAAGTTTGCACAAAGGCTTACATTAAGATTCAGGAGTTCCTGGCTCCTAAGTCCTGTGGTGACTTACCACAGACTTATGAAACTAAAAGCAAGCACATCATGAGAGATTATTTTATTGCTTTAATAGTTAAATCTCAGTTTATCAGAATCACACACCTACATCAGTTTGAAATACTGCCACTAAGACAGCATAAGTATTGCAGTAAGCGGATTATCCCTCTGTCGGAAGAGACCACATTAAAAAGCAGTTCACTCCTCTGTGGCTCTATTTTTCCTGCGAGCCTCCAGCAAAAAGTAGAGAACTGTGCCCACCAACACACCTCCTGCTACCCCACTTCCAATTCCTATCAGGAACACCAACAAGGCCCTTCTTTGCCAAGATTGCTGATGCCATTGTACTACAACGCTGGTACCATTCTGTTGGTTTCCTTCCTTTTCATTTGCTGCTAGTTTCTGTTCCAGAGTCAAGGATTTTTGAAAGTTCAGATCCACTAAGTCATTAGGGATCACTCGAAGCCCAAAGTAGATTCTCTTGACAAGCTTGAATGTCTTCATCAGCTGCACATCACACCTGTAAGTCCCTGCATCAGATTCTTTGGCAGGGGAAAGTTTGATGACATAGCTTGGGGTCTTGAAAGGTTTGAAAAGCAGATCATCTGTGGTGATTATGCCTCTGGCAAGCCTCCAGGTGTAGATAAAGGCCTGGCTGCCAACACCAATCATCTCAGAGGTCAGGCAGCTGAGCTTAAATGGTTTGCCAATGGGGACAGTGAAATGGAGTAACCCACAGATCCAGTTGGTCAGGCAGTCTGACCTGCGGAAGTTACAATGACTCCTTTTCCCATGCGGATCAATCTGACATATCTCCTCCACCTTGAAGCCCAGGCCACAGGTGACACTGCAGGATGTGGTGCTGACCAAGACCTTAGCAACTGCTGACTTCAGCTGCTCTGGGATGGTAACTGTCTCAAGGGAAGCTGCCAACAAAGGCAGATAGAAACCAAAAGCTAATGTCCCACAGATAAAGCAGTTTTCCAAGGTCTTCATCTCTGCATAGTCAATTTTATAAGCCACTTCTAAGCCACTGGCAGTTAGTAGTCCAACAAGTGCAAGTCATTCTTCATAAGTGTTCATCCTACGTATTACTGAAATTCCAGCAGCAGCACCTTCATGAACTAATTCCCCACATACATGAAATCCTCCAAGAACAAGGACTTGAAGTGAAACGCTGCTAAAGAAAATGCAACTTATTAATAGGTTAGTCCTTGTTCATCACGTGGGTTCCTATTTCTATAACAGACGTTTCACATCTCATTTTAAACTACTCAACTCCAACAACAGGAAACCCCCTTTGATACAAAATATTTTAATTTAAACTCTCAGGGAACAGGAAGGAGAACTCAAAAAATGATTTTAAAACAACTTCTGGAGCAAAGAGAAGTTATTCCAGTTGAATTTCTCCAACCCCAAACTACAAAACACAATCCATAATAAAATCTTGAAACCCCAATACAATGCCAACAAAACAATAGGAAAATAGTACTTACCATGTACGTGAGGAGTACTGTCTTACATATTTGTACCCTGAAATTTAAAGCATTCCCCAAATCTCCAAGATCACGAAGATAAGCTTTTGATTTCATTGCCATCAGCACATCACGAGTTAAAAGGCAAACTGGTAAATATTTTAATATAACCACTTATATGCTTGGCTATTTTCCTTTCAAATAGGACAGCAGACATTTTGTATATGCAGGGAGGTGACCTGGTTCTTCACTTCCCTCCATGGCTCAATTAAGTCTCTAAAGTTTCCATAACACATGCTACTCTGAAACAATTATGATGTCATAAGCTAGCCTTCCATGAGGCAGGATGATGGCACAAAGAACGTCGCACACATCCAGGCAAGCATCGTAAATGGATTATTTGATGAAGAAAGCTCCAAAAAGGCCACAGCACCTTAAAATACTGAAGTTAGTAAAGCCAGGCTGCCCCATGTGAGCTGACAGTATCAGTGTTAGTGCATAAGGCTGGGAGTCAGGAGCCCAAGGTTAAATTTACCACTAACAGAGGTGGCTGCAACTGCACTGATTTCAGATACCACTTATATTAGCTGTGAATTTGACACCCAGGATCTATTCTGGACTCAGTTACTGACTCACTGAGTGACCATTGGAGAGTCACAACCTTCACATTCCAATTGATACATTAGCAAAATGGGCACTGCCACTTACGATACACGGGTGTTGGTGCAGGCAGAGAAGAGAATGGTTCCAAAGCAATGGTTCACAGAGTTGTGAAAGTCTTCGAAGACAGGTGCAATAAAGTGCCAAGTATCGTGTGTCATGAGAAGTAAACACGGTATTTATTTTTGATGGAGCAATACAGTATTCTGACAATAGTCCAGTAAACAAAAGTAATCCGTGAGCAGCAAACTGAGTATTGGATATTACTAAAGATCAGATTGCAGGAACACGGACTTTTTCCTTAAAAATGAACAGCACTAAAATAACTGCACCTCTCTTCCCACCATCACCTTAGATTATTAAAGCTGAAAAATTTTTTAAAATCTAGTTTACTGTTCTCTATTTATGCTGTTCACTTTCTCCATCTCTACATTCTCCCAATATTTATACTAAGCTCAGCACAGCATCAGAGTACTGGAACATAAATTCAATTAAGTCAATTTCTCTTTTCCTTACGGTCAGTTTCACTTTCAGGTTCTCTGTCCAGGAACTTTTGTGTTGCACACAAATGCAAACTTGTAATTAAGACCATCTGCTTGCACTGTTTTTTGTTTGTTTGTTTATTAAAATATGGAAATATTTTTATTAGACTAGGAATTTGTTTTTGTTAAAGTTTATTCAAGCAAATTCTTGCTACAAAATAAATAAACAATCCCAAGACTGTAAACTCTTTGAAGCAGAGACGGTTGTTTTCTAAGTTTCTACGGCACCTAGCACAATGAGGTCATGATCCATGGCTAGGATCTCCAGGGACTATCACAATTACCACAATACACAAATAATAATAATAGAATGAAAGGAACACAGAGAGAGACTTACCCACAAGTTTAAGAAATAAAACATACCTCTTTATTTACAAACACAGAAGCTAACATCACTGCTCTGTTGTATAACTGGCCATTATCTGACACATTTTGTACAAAAACTACAGAGATATCAAAATAATGAATTAAAAAGAGAGGAAAATAAACCAAGGACATACACTGTACAATTGGAGAAGCATTCAACACTGAAGGCTGGAGTCCATGACAATTCATATGCCTTAAGACAATCTTCAGAGCCATCACCTGGGCAGCGTTAGGGCTTGTGATGGATTCAGACACACCCTAAGAGTTTAAGGTATGAAATGAGCTGTTCAGAGAGTTCAAAGGGCAAAGAAAGCTTATGAGAGTATATGTGAGGGCGGAATCAAAAATAGTTTCATTAAATGAAGCAAGCCACTGAACTGCAAGTTAAGAAAGCTGGTGGTTTTGTTCCTATGAAACTATTTAGAGTGTTCCTTCACCTTCCATGGTTTATTTCCAATGTTGCTGCTGGCTGCTTTGCTTAAATTAGACCTAACATAGGTACCTGCCTGACTCATCTCTTGGGCTTCTGGTACAAGTGGATATTTT